TTTATTCACAGTAGGCAAAAACCAGCAACCATTTAAGTATTTAACAATAGAATGGATATACCAAGTGTAGTATGCTCATACAATGAAATGCTATTTAGTAATGAGAAAGAGCTATCAAAAAACGAATGAATCTTATTCAGTAAAGAAGCAAGAGAGCTGGGCATGGTAGCTGACATCTATAATCCTAGCACTTGGGAGACTGAGGCAGCAGTTTGAGACCAGCCTAGGCTACATAGTAAGTTACAGGCCAGTCTGAGTTATAGAATGAGACTCCCCATCCCCAAAAGAAAACAACAAATAAGGAAGTAAGACATAGGAATTAGAGGCATCTCAGTGGTAGAGCACTTGTCTAGCACACATGAGGCCCTAAGTGTGATTCCTGGCATTGAAGTGTGGGGGTGGGGATGCAAAACAAAGGATATGGCTCAGTTATAGAGTGCTTGCTTAGCAGTTGTGAGGCCTTCAGTTCAATCCTGAGATGTTACTTTATAATTATTTGTTATCAGGCTGAAGAGATGGCTCAGAGAGTAAGAGCACTTACTGCTCTTCCAGAGGATCCCGGGTTCAGTTCCCAGCAGCCACATGATAGCTCATAGATGTCTAAAACTCCAGTTCTAAGATCTGACATCTCTGGCCTCCTCAGGCATCAGGCACACACGTGATGCACAAATATAAGCAGGGACATCACTCATCTACATAAAATGAATGTTTAAAAAATAATGATGTTATCTAGTATCTTTGTGTTTTATGTGCTTTTTTGTATATCTAGCATACTTCATAATTAAAAGATTAAACATGTGAAGCAGCCCAGTGGCGGCACACACCTTTAATCCCAGCACTCTAGAGCAGAGACAGACAGATCACTATGCATTTGGGGCCAGATTGGTTTGCATAAAGAATTCCAGGCCAGTCAGGGATACATAGCGAAACCTTGTTTTAAAAAAAAAAATGAAGCAAAAATGAAAACTTAGGTCTATGCGTGTTTTCTGCATTTTCATAAATTTCCATATTTGTTTTGTTGTTTATTTTGAGATAGAGTCTTGCTATGTAGCCCAGGCTGACTTTGAACTTACAGCAATCTTTCTGCCTTAGCCTCCTAAGTGCTGGGACTCAGGCATGTGGCACAACGCCTAGCCACATAGCTATATAGCTAAATAGGTTTTTTGGGGTTTTTTTTGTTGTTTTTTTTTAATTGAGTCTGATGATCAGCCTGTTTTGGAAACAGCCAGAAGGAAATTCTTCCTGACCTGTCCCTGCAAATCACCCACCATCATCAATAACAACCCACCTCTCACCTTGAGGTCTGAGAGACCAGTGAGAAATTTCTCCCAGCTTTTCTCTCTTCCCTGCTGGCTGGACCCTGGCTAGGCGACAGAGCCACACACCCATGTATATACACACAGCATAGCAGTGGTCGAGGAGGCTACGTGCTGGCTCTCAGGGACCTATTTTCTCACTAGCTGCAGGCTTCTCTTTCTTGCTTTTTTCCCTACTTATTAAACCAGATTTGGCATAAGGTGGATCATGGCCTGGACATTATGTTTGTCTGGTCAGTTTGGAATGCTTGGGAGGAAACATTTCCAGCTGTAATGGGGAAAGACGCTAAGTAAGTAAAGAAGCCCAAGTCCAAAGAGATGAAAAACACAGGATAGACCTGAGTTCTACACACCTAGAAATTGGACCTACCTAGTTATAAACTTCCTCACTTGGCCTCAGTGATCTGAGTGAAGGAAGCATCTAGTGGCCAGCTCGCTACAGCAACTCCTATTTCAAAATCTGCTGGGAATCTCCAGGTAGATATCCAATGAGCAGGCTAACTCACATAGCCAAGCCAAACCCACGCTGTCTTCCTCATCCTGCCCCTTCAGTACCACTCTCCATCCCAGTGGAAAGGAATGACACCACCTTCCATAGAAGCCCATGCTTCCTCCTGTTTAGTCAGCCCCTCATCCGACTCATCAGCAAGTCTATGATCTATCCATCCAGCACCTTTTCTTTCTTTGCCCAGACCAACCCAGAACTCACAGTGATCCTCCTGTCTCAGGCTCCCTAAACCAGAATTACAGGAATGCATTACCACCCAGCCCAAACACATCTTCCAAACATGCAGACATGATTACATCTCTCCCTTGCTTAAAAACCTTTATCAGAGGATGGCTCCTTGTCATCTTCTGAACATCCCAACTTCTGTGTGGTATGAACCCTTTACTTTCTAATTCTCTAGGTCTTCTCTCACAATTCTACTCCTCAGTGCCTTGGTCCAGTTCTACTTTCATGATTGTATTTCTTTCTAAGTACCAAGCCCTCTGCTACTAAAGCTTTGTACATGCTATTTCCTTTTCCTATTCCTCCCTGTCTCAACCCTTCCTTAGTCATTCCTGCCTCTTTCTATAGTCATAGGTTAGATATCAGTTTCCCTGGGAATCTTCCCTTGCTTCCCAAAGCTCTTTCTGTACCTTCAGGACCTACAAGGGTACACAATACTTATCACAGGTGCTGCTAAAGCCTCCTTGTCTATCCTCCTCTTGAAATCAGGGATCACTTCTGTAGTTTTCATCTTGATATGCCTCTGGATCTGTCCCAGTATGTGATGGACTGAATACAGAATCGAATGAATGTGTGGATGGCTGTATACTCAGCACTCAAAGGTTCTGGGGAAAATGAAGATCAAGTGGAAAAATGAAGATCAAGTCTCTATCCTCAAAAGTTTATAGATGAAGACAAGCTAGATTATCTTTATCCTTCATCCACAAAAACATGCACGAGTTAGACCATATCTAGCACCAAATCAAGACCTCTAATTCCAGAAAGGCCAGAAGTAGCTTCCAGCTGAAGACCTGGATGTGATTCTTACACGTGCCTCACTTTCACTCTCTCTACCTACTGATCCAGTTTGAGTCAACACTTCCTTCTGGCCCACACACAAGCAAAGAAGTCTCAGCTGGGGACAATAGGCAGCAGCATTGACCTGCTCAGAGTGTCCTAGCAACCCTGGGATCAAAGTTTGCATCTCTGAAGGACCCTGCTCAGGCATCTAGTGAGACAGGGACATGCACAACCAGCAGATGGTTCTAACTTATGCACACTTCTACCCAAACTTCTTCTGTCAGCTCAGCAGCTGCTCTCTGGCATACATACCACTTGGAAGAATTCAACTATGGGCCCCACAAAAATTAATATTATATATATTATATATACACATACATAGAGACACATATATATATAATATAGATTATTGTACACACAGAACAAGAGAGAGAGAGAGAGCACAAGAGAGAATCCTTTCAACAATACAAACATAGAACTGGGTGAAGGTCCAGTGTTTAGAGATCTTACTTCACGTAGTACTCAGAAGCACCTTGCTTTATCTTTATTTTATTTTTATTTATTATTATTATGGGGGTGCACATATGGAGGGCCGACAACTTTTGAGACTCAGTTCTTTCCTCTCACCATAGGTTCTGGTGATGGAACTCAGTAAGCATATCTACTTGCTGAGCCATCTCACTGGCCCTCAATCTTTCATTCATGTTCCTTTCACATTCTTTCAGTCTTTTACATGTATGTAACTTTAAAGACTACAATTAGATTTCCTCTGTATACCATTCTTACATCTTCTATATTACTATATGTTACACATTTATGCAAACATATTATCATAACTGTATATGCACAGAATCATGAAGACCTTATATTACAGTAATTTATGGACTTTTCAAAGCTACTGTTGGCTACATATACACAGCCTCTGACTTTAGAACCTGATCTCCAGATAGAATGCACCTCTACCTCATGGGTACCAACCATCCTCCAAGCTCCTCCTCCAGCATCTGCATCAAGCCAAGAACCTTATGGCCTCTTACAACATTCACCAAAGTCTGAGAATTCTAGTGGTCAATGACAGGCAACCTTCCTAACACTACCCCCACTAGGATCCTCACCAGCCTCAGGTGAAGAGCTAAGGTAAGGTCAGGACACCCTCTGGTTTGCTCCAAGTCAATTGCCTTTTCTTTTTCAATCAAAGACAGCTTTTAAATCACTGCGGGTGGGGGAAAGGGGGCAAAGGATGATAAGACCAGTTCCCTTCCCCAACACCCTTCAGGCTCCTGGCCCAAAAGGGTGACTGGTGAGGATACAAACCACTCTATATGACCTAGAAAGGAGTTGTTTGGGTGCAGTCTGCAGTTTTCAGGCTCTGCCCACAATCCTACTCTAAGTACCAGGCTCTAGGACTTTCAGCCACCCAGGATGGATAGCCATAGGCGCTCAACATCCCAGACAGTGTTCTTCCACAGCTCTCACTGGCCTGAGGAGCCACATTTCCAAAGAGTCACAAACAATTGCTAAAACTGTCTCCTTCCTTCGTGACCCGAGTGGGTCAGAGTTCCCATTTTTCAGGAAACTGAAATCTGTGAAAGCAAGACCAAAATAAATAAATAAATAAATAAATAAATAAATAAATAAATAAATAAATCACGGTTCTCTAGGCTTATCTCCCCAGATCAAGATTACCAGATAGTTCGGTTAGTTTTTAGCTATTCATTACCAGGGGGCTTCTTTTCCTTCACAAATTTCACAAGTTTGCGCTCACCTTGAAGTCCCTTTCACGTTCACCCTTTCCTTTTTTTCTCTCCAACTCAGATTTCTCCAAGGTCTGAACACTGCCCGGAATCCCCTCTGACCCAATTCCAGAAGAGAAGCATCTCCTCTCCCAGAGCTGTGGGTGAGGGCTCCCTCCTACACCCGCCCCGCATCTCCCGATCCCATTCTTTGCTCAGGCCCTTTGTGACCGACCGGCTTCCTCCGTGCTTCGCCCCCACCTCTCCAGTACCGAGGGTCCTTTCCTGCACCTAACCTGCACTTAAAGTTCCAGACCAGTTTCCCGGTGCAACTCTCCAGCTCTCCCCGCCTGCTCGGGAGCTCAGGCCTGAGCCTTTTCTTTCCAACAGTGTCCGGGTCCAATCCCCTCTGCATCTCAGTCCCGGCTCCCGCGCGCTTACCCGACCAGAGCACAAGCTTGCCGTGCGCTTCCTCCTGAGAGTTTGAGTCCCCAGCCAGCAGCGTGGAGGTGGCCCCGTAGGGCAGTGCGGAGCCCAGGCACACGTTGTAGCGCAGAGGCTCGCAGTGGGCGGCCCGGCCGCAGTGGCTCAGCAGCGGTGGCGGAGGGCTGGTCATCGCCGCGTTCCTCCTCGCGCTCCCGCCGGCGCTGCGAGGCCCAGACCCAGTCGCGTTCCCGCTCGAGGCCGCCCCCCGGCCCGGGCCCCCCAGCAGCACCAGCAGCAGCAATCGCAGCAGCCTCGGGAGCGCCAGCTCGGGCCCCCGCGCGGGGTGGGCAGCGGCCATGGCGAACCCGCCAACTCAGCAGAAGCCGGGGCGCCCCCGCGCGCTCCCGGGAGCCACCGGACCACGCACACGACCCTGGGGGGCAGCGGAGGAGACTCAGACGACGCGGGCGCTTGGCGAGTCTGGGGCCGGCTTTCCCCAGGCGCTGCGCGGGTCCCGGCCCCTCGGCGCCCAACTTCGCAAACTTTGGAACCAGGGGCCCATGTTGGGCGACGCAGGCCCGGGCCAGGATGCGCGGACTCCCGACTCCCTCGCTCGGCGGTCGGAGTTGTCTTCAGCCCTGGGAGCCCCGTGGGCCCCCGATCTCCAGCCCCATTCTGTCTCCCGCCATTAAAGCCCACTCCCGGCCCCGCGATGGAGGCCAGGCGAGGGCTGGGGGTGGTGCGGGAGTCAGTCCCCGGCTCCGCCCCCGCGCCTGGCCGAGGCCCAGCAGCCACCTCCGCGCGAGCCCTCTGCGCGAGCCCCCCGCGCTCTCCCCGCCGCCGACCGGGCTCCTTTGTTGCTCTAGCTGGCCCTGCTCTCAGGAATGCACGGGCCTCGCGGAGCCAAGCCCGGCCCCCCTCCGCCGAGGCTGGGGGAGGGCCTGTGCGAGGAAGAGATGGAGAGAAGCTGGAGAGGAGCGTGAGCTGCGGCGGCCTGGGAGCTGGAGTCGGGGCTGGGGGGCCCTGGGACCCCCAAATCCCTTTGCTGCTCCGCGCCATCGGGAAAGAGGTGCGTGAAGAAGCTGCGGCCCAGAGCTGCCACGAGAAACCCCGCGGGCTGTGTAGTTGATCCGAGGCTCGTTCAACGTGATCTCGTACAGGAGAGGACTTTACGGATTTAGGGTGGAAGAAACTAGAAGTGGGCCAGAGCTTTCACTCCATCCCAGCCCAGTTCCCCAGCCCCGCAGATCTTTCAGGCTTTGGATTAGACCTTTCAACTTAACCCTGGTGGGAAGAAAACGGGGGTTAGGGTTCCTGCTTCTCCAAATCTTTCCATCTCGGCTTCTAAGTAGGGAAAAGACCTCAGAGTCACCCACGGTAGCTGCTCCGGCTGCTGTTACCTATGGGAACAGGTGTCTGGCATCGGAACGTGGCAACATCAAGCCTTTATTACTCAAAAATGCAAAGTTTGCGCTGTGATTTCCACGACGGTCCCTGGCGTGTTTTTTAGTTTAGTCCGAAGGAAGCCAGTTCATCTTTGATGGCCCTCGCTGCTCATCCGCTCCCACTGGTCTCTCTCCCCCCACTCAGCTCCGTTTGTTTTCCCCACTATTTCATCCGCAGTTCCTTAAAATCATGGCTGGCATAAGAAAGGGTGAGCCCTGAAGAATGGACCTGCCTTAAATAACTCTGTTACTGACTGGACGGCTCACTAGGGCGGCTTTTCTTATCTCTAGTATAATAACTCATCGCCTAGCCAAAATGGACAGTTCTGTTACCCTTGCTGTTTAAGAGCAAATAGCTATTAAATCAGATATGATCCTTAATTGGTACCCGAGTCCCCAGGAGTGAGAGGTGTGAACAGGGGATAATTCAATTTAGAGGTTTGTTTTAGTTTCGTTCCTGTTGTTGAGATAAAATATCCTGACAAGAGCAGCTTTGAAAGTAGAAAGGGTTTATTTGGGGCTTACAACTCCAGGTTACAGCCCATCATTGTGGGGAAATTCAGTCAGGAACTTGAAGCAACTAGTCAGTCACATCTACAGTCAAGAGCAGAGAAATGAACGTTTGCTGGTGCTGGGCACCTTCTCTACACTTTACACAGTCCAGGATCTGTCTAGGGAATGGTGCTGCCCACAGCCTACAGTCTTCCAGTATCAGTTAATGTGATTGCAACAATTCCTCCACAGGCCAACCTAGTCCAGAGATCTGTCTCCAAAACTCAGGTGAGTCTATATTGTGTCAGGATGACAACTGAAACTAACCATCACAGGGGTCTTTCTGAAGTCTTAGGATGTACTCAAGTGGTGACGTCGTTTAAATTTTTGAGAATTCTTATTTTACTGTGCTGACAAGGCTTGTTCTTTTTAAAAATTTTTTTAATTTTTAAAAATAATTTTTATGCCAAGTGTGGTGGCGCACGCCTTTAATCCCAGCACTCAGGAGGCAGAGGCAGACTGATCTCTGTGAATTCGAGGCCAGCCTGGTCTACATAGTGAGTTCCAGGACAACTGGGGCTACAGGGAGACCCTGTCTCAAAAAGATCAAAAAAATAATAATAATAATTTTTACGTGTATGAGTAGTATTGCTTGTATGCGAGTGCACCCGTGTTGTGCAATGCAGCGGATTCCCTGGAACTGGAATTAAGGACAGTTCATAGCTGCCATGTATGTGCTGGGAATCAAACCCAGGTCCTCTGCAAGAGCAGTCAGTGCGCTTAACCGCTGAGCCATCTCTCCAGCCCCACAAGGCTTGTTCTTAAGAAACATACACACTGTTATGGCGAAGCGTTGAAGTTTTCTCCTCCAGGACAGGGACCTTCTGTTCTTATATTCTTTGTATCTACACAGTACCCAGCTCAACTGGATGTACATATTAATCACTTGATTTGTTACTAAAAATGTATATTTGAGTGTGCCGTGAGAACTTACAGCAAAGAGTGGAAAAATGTGGAAGAGGTGAGATTTAACTCAGTACTGATGTGTAACTAGAAGGGGCCAGAAAAGAACAGAAAATAGGGGCTGGAGAGATGGCTCAGCAATTAAGAACACTAGCTGCTTTGCAGAGGACCCGGGTTCAATTCCCAGCACCTACATGGCAGGTAAAAAAATGTCCGTAACTCCAGTTCCAGGAGTTCTTCTGACCTCTGGAGACACTGCCCAACATGGGTGCACCTACCTACATGCAGGCAATACACTCATACACATAAAATAAAAATAAAAATAAGCCCTTTAAGCCAGGCGTGGTGGCGCGCGCCTTTAATCCAGCATTCGGAAGGCAGAGGCAGGCGGATTTCTGTTAGTTCAAGGCCAGCCTGGTCTACATAGTGAGTTCAAGGACAGCTGGGGCTACAGGGAGACCTTGTCTCAAAAAGACAAAAAAAAACCCCTTTAAAATATTTTATTTATTGTTTTTATTTTATGTGTATGAGTGTATTGCCTGCATGTATCTGAGTGCGCCCGTGTCGTGCAATGCCGCGGAGGTCAGAAGACAGCTTTGGATTCCCCTGGAACTGGAGTTAAGGATAGTTCGTATCCGCCATGAGAGTGCTGGGAATCGAACCCGGATCCTCTGCAAGAGCAGTCAGTGCTCTTAACCGCTGAGCCATCTCTCCAGGCCCAAATAAAATATTTTAAAAAGAACAGAGAAATGGACAAAGGGCATTACATGGGGGAACCATGAGCATAGTTGGGCTGGTAATAAGATGTAGTTGGGGCTAAATAGAGAAAGTGAGAAGCCTCAAATGACAGAGATACTAACACTTACTCCTACTGGCCATAAAGAAATAGTGTAAATGATCCGGGGAGGGGGGTGATATTAATCATTCATAACTAACAAGGTGACATGAAGATAGCCTGAAGAGACTGGAGGCAACAGACCATATGGAGGGCAGTCATTGAGATTTATGGACAAAGTGGAATAGATTGTGTCTATTCCCACTGAAAAAAAGAATTTAAAACATAATGGTCTTCCTCAAGCTTTTTTTTTTTTTTTTTTCTGTGATAGAAATGAAATGGCTCTTAAAACCTGTCCCCATCTGAGCCATACAGAAAGTTACCTCTGAGCCTAAATCACACTGGTACTTTACTTTGTGAACTTCCCCCATTTATTTTCTGTCTGGTTGTTACCATGGCAGCTTTGAAGACCTGTGACATTTTCTCATCGAATATGCAATACTCTATGTATTAAGGAGGAACCTCCACGTGTGTGCTCTGACAGCCACTTGTCTCTGCTTAAGAATGTCAGCTGGTACAAGGGATCCAGTGCCCTCTTCTGGCCTCTGCAGGCACCTGTGTGTGTGCACACATACGTGAGACAGAGAGAGCGAGAGAGCGAGCGAGTGAGAGAGAGAGGGAGGGAGGGAGGGAGGGAGAGGATGTCATCAGGTAATCCTTCAAGTTATGAAAGAAAGCTCTAACATTTCTTACTTGGAATTATTATTATTATTATTATTTTATTTTGAGACAAGGTCTCCCTGTAGCCCTGGAACTCACTTTGTAGATCCATCCCATGCTGGCCTCAATCAAAGATCTGTCTGCCTCTGCCTTTTGAGTGCTGGAATTAAAGGTGTGTGCCATCACACCAGACTACCTTGCTTGGGATTCTTGGCAGGTTTAAGAAAGATTAATTGGAATATAGGTGAGGCATGGTAGCACATACCTCTAAGGCTAGAATTTTGGAGATGCAGATGGTATGACTGTAAGTTCAAAGTCATCCTCAGCTACATAATAAGTTAGAGGCCAGCCTGAGCTACATGAGACCCTGTCGAGAGGGGGCGGGGAGGGAGGAAGGGAGGGAGGAAGTAAAGAAAGAAGGAAGGAAGGGGAGGGGAAGAAAAGGAACGGAAAAGTGAGCAAGGAGCAGGCCCAAAGCATTAGAATATAATATAGTACTTTTTACACTGTAAGTAGAAGAGGGAAATTTTGTTGGCTTGTTTGTGACAGAATCTTACTATATGGCCCTGGCTGGCCTTGGACTCATGGTAATCCTCTTGTCTCCACTTCCTAAGTGCTGAGATTGAAGGCATAAACCACAGCACCTTGCTAGAAGGAAGTAGGATGTTTCTTTCAGCTAGAATGTTTTCTCTAAAGAGAAAGGGAAAACATTCTGTAATTTTTCAGTTTTTTTTTTTTTGTGTGTGTGTGTGTGTGCATGTGTGCATGCACATGTGACACATGATTCTGTTCACCAGACTTCAGCATTCCTTTTTGGGGATTCTGACCTAACAAAAGGAAGCAGGAAGGCAGACAGAAAATGCCAACGGTGCTATACACAGCTGCTAAACCAGTTCTCATCCATGGTGATGCACCAATGCATATTTCCTAGACACAGAAGGAAGTAGAAAAAGTTCTAGAATTCTGTCAGACATCAGATTTGGGGGAAATGAGGGTGTTCAGCAAGAACTGAGGAAAAGAGGATTTTATGATAATTCCTGCATGGCACTCAAGAGTCTGGGACAAACTGGTCCATCCTTTCCTGCAGACCAAGATTGCCAGTCTATTACAGACTCCTCAACATGACTTGACATACTCCTGATCTGCAACATGGTGGTAAATTGCAAAGTGGCAATTCAAGAGTCTTAGGCCTACCTACATGTCCTAACACAGTTCTGTTGTCAGGGCCATGAGAGCTGCCCTCAGTTAACAAGGCATTACAGTACTTGATTTGCTACAAGTAGCTTCTTGATTTCTGAGTCATTCTCTTCCAATATCTTGGCATTCTGAGGTCACACGGTCACTATTGATTTTTTGTTATTTGCCTTGGGCCTTTCACTCAAGGAGGATTGACATGAAAGTATCCATGGGTTGTCCAGGGGTATCCTTGAGACTTCAGTGCTTCCTTATGATTGAGTGTTCATGCTGGCTAGGATTCGGAGCATAACTGTT